CAAGAATGCTTGAGGACAACCATACATTGACACCACTTAGGGTTTTCCAAAGCGGAAAAGTTTATTTATATTTATATATTTATAGTTATTGCAAAGATGATAAAATTGTTATTCTCAAGTTCTCTCATTTTGAATGTTGGATAATCAATATGGATAAAGAACTTGGGTTTATTATAAAGACTTCGCCAATTTTGCTATCGTTTTGAATTTTAATATAATTAATTAATACCTAATCTGCGCATCGCGTTCTGCCCAAAAGCTTTTCAGCCCTTTCTTTTATATTTAAGAATATGTGTACCAAATTTGGTTCAGCCGTTTAGCCGTAAATGAGAGTACAGACGGACTGACAGACCGACGTCATCGAGATTTTGTTTGATTCGGATTACTGGTGCTTCAAAACGTGTATTTCCGTAAAAAACTGGGGGGGGGGGTTATCTTTTATCCCAATGCAATACCTCCCTTACTATAACGTGCAGGTTGTAAAAATGAGTTATTTATGAATTGATTCATTCCGAATTAATTATAGGTGACTTCGAAATGAATGATAACATTCAAATTAATAACTATTATAATAATAAATACTATAATTAATAATAATTAAATTTAGTCTAATCATCTTTGGCTGCCGGTGGTCTGCCCTTTTTCTCCATATTTTTCTATTTTCATACCCTTAATTAATTACTTTTGGGGTTTTAATTTTACCATATATGTGGATCTAATTATAATGGAGCTCTACGGGCCCGATTTTAATTTTCTAAATGAGAAGATGGGGTCAAACAAAATGAAAAAAAAACAGCTCATAGATAAGAACACTTATTAACGTTTTAATTATCGAGAGTATACGTCACAGAATTCTCACATAAATACAAGTCAGATGTCACTGCAATCTTTATTTCTTAAATATTTGAGTGCAGACTAGCACAAAATGTACCTACTAATTACATTATTGTGTTTTTATGGTATATTTAGTGTCAGTGGTCAATACTACGAATTTTCCGATGTGTTAATCGAACCATTAGGTCCAAAAGGACTGAGAGTTTCAATACCAGGTTCAATAAATTTGTTTGTTCAGCTTTGAACTCATATGGCGCTTGTAGACGAAGATGGAATCCAGCTATTTGCGTTCCACGGGAAAATTAACAGCCCGATGAAAGGACGCGAAGCAGGCATTTTTTCTGAGGACATTCGCTTCGCCGAAAATGGAAGGTGGACCTTTTTCACAAATGCTCGTCTAAAACCAGGCGATAAACTTTATTATTGGATTCATGTGCTTTACGATGGAATTGGTTACGAAAAGGACGGAGAGCCGTTTACTGTCACTGGTGAGTTTTGGTAAAGGGCCGTATTTAGGCGGTGGCGAGATGGGCGCCCTCTACCGGGGGGAGCGAAATTGGCAATAAAAATTTTTAGATTAGTGCATTTTTAACCTCATCAATAAAAAATTGGGAAGATATTTAAAGATAAAAATTGTACGTTATTGGAATAAATGTTCGCAGAGCTAATTCCACGTGACGGGTCAACTACGACGAGTACACCTCCACTTTGCGAGCTCGGCCAAACAAAGTTAAACGGAAAAACTGCTTGCAAAGGAATGCTCATTTTCCATGAGACCTTTTCGAGGTTAGACAAGACGAAGTGGAAGCCAGAAGTCAAGTTTCCTCAAGTTCCAGTAAGCTAGACTGATACACACCCTTACGTTTGCCTCTAACAGTTCATTTCAGGATTTTGAATTTGTAATCTACGACGATGATCCCAAAGTACTGTACACCGAAGGTGAAACCTTGCACATACGACCCCAACTGACTGAAGATGTATACGGCAGCGATTCGATCAACCGCGAATTGGACTTAAATACTCGGTGAGTTGAGTTTCAAAGTCGTGAATTTATTAAACACTTTCAGGTGCACAGGGCTAGTGCAATCGCCGGAGTGTATTCGAAAGCCCAGGGCATGGCACATAGTTCCTTCTGTTACCGCGGCGCAAATATCAACAGTGGAGAGTTTTAGCTTTATCTACGGTGCTATCGAGGTTAAAGCCAAGATGCCAAAGGGCGACTGGTTGTATCCGGGTACGTTGGCCTTCGATCAGAACTTGGACACATTCTACTTTTAGAAATCAGCCTAGTACCAAAAAGTGAAGCTTACGGTCCGGGATACGAGTCGGGTCGTATACGGATCGCGTTGGCATACGGAAACCAAGAGTTAGACAATGATTTGTACGCTGGAGGTGTTTTGGGACACTCAGATGCCGCGCGAAACTACGGGTTGAAGAAGATTTTCTCTTACACCCACTGGACGGATGCTTACCACGTGTATCGAATCGAGTGGAAGCCCGGTATGCCTTTCATTGTTTACCCTGCTCCACTAAAAGTAGCCTTCCAGACAGTATTGTCGTAAAAGTGGACGGAGTTGTGTTTGGAACAGTATACCCACCAGCCGGCGGTTTTGCAATCGATCACACCATAATACAGGTAGATCCCGCCGTCGCTGATCGGTGGAGGAAGGGAACAGTACTTGCGCCGTTCGATCAAGAGGTGAAAGATTAGTCTACGATAACTGTTAATTTGTGCCATATCCTTTATAGATGTACATAGTGCTGGGAGTTGGAGTGGGCGGATTGGGGTTTCCGGAGTCGATGACCAATAAACCGTGGGAAAGCGATCATCCCAAGGCTCCCCTGCAGTTTTACAGAAATCAGAGCACCTGGAAGCAGACCTGGGGCGATAGTAGCGTATTGGAGGTGGATTATGTGAAAGTTTGGGCGTTGTAGTGCGGAATGTGAACTATATGGTTGATTAACAATTCACTTAGGCTATTCGGCGGAATTTGATTTTTGTACAAAATAAATACTCTCACTTTCAAAGGAAGGTGTTTTTCCGGGACGATCTGAGACAATTTTTTGTTCGTGGCAAAAAAAAGGCAGTGAACCTTCCTTTTTTCCAAAAATCTACTGCACCAAAATTTCTCGGGAAAACACTTTTTCTTATTAATTTTGGTGCGTAGAATCCAAAACAATTCGTACTTTTTCGATCAGACTTCTCAATCAAAAAGTTATGGACTAGAAACCAATTTCCAAAGAAAATTCAAAGGGCTGTAACTTTTGAACTAGTAGCCCAATCTTGGAACTGTTTGAAATTATGGACGCTACAGGCCACGTTCTATAAGAAAAATTTTTTTCCGGGACGATCTGAGACAATTTTTTGTTCGTGGCAAAAAAAAGGCAGTGAACCTTCCTTTTTTCCAAAAATCTACTGCACCAAAATTTCTCGGGAAAACACTTTTTCTTATTAATGTTGGTG